CTTCATACTGGTCTCAACTATTTTTTTGTTAGAAAAGTTATGGATCTAAAGCTTCATTCCACCCATCCTCCTTTTCCGAGCGCATATTATGTTAGAGATAAAAAATAATCATTATAGGGTTTTCTTTTGTATGGAATAAAATATGATCATTTTTCTCCCAAGGACGGCTTTAAGGTATCCTGCAATTTGGGGCTCTCTTTCTGGAAAAATTTGTTTATTGCATGTGAATTAATTTCTTCGATCTCTTTTTTTTTTCTTCTTTTGGTTGGCAGTGATCTCACCATACCTTCGCTACTAGTTTTATTGGTCTAAGTTTTAATAGTTCTCATGGAGTTGTATTTATATTTACTAAGTTTGCTTTTTTTTTTGCCGTTTCTTTGAGCGCCCTTATACAAACTTATATTTTGTGTCACTGATATATTTTTATCTGATTTGTATTTTTATGTTATTGCCTTTGTAGGAAGAAAGATGACAGCACCTACCTTTCATTCTTTTCTGTCATGTAGAGGTATATTATTTTGAAGTTTTTTTTTTAAACTCTTTTTGGTTGATAAGAATGTTCTTTTGATTTCTGTTTCTCAAGTCTCAAATCTTTTGAATTTTTTTTGTCTTACGATTATTTTTGTAGGAAGGAAGAGGAATTTATAATCGTTAGACAAAAAAAAAGATAAACATTTTTTCAGTAAATAGACTCGTCAAAAAAGAACACTGGATATTCAAAATGCTATCTGAGTAGCAGTATGAGTCAGTAATCAAGCCGCTCGTACCTAATGGCCTCAATTTTTGTGATTTATCCCTTTTGAGAATTGGTGACTTCATGTTAGTGTTTCTCTCACGTTTTAGATTGTGGCCAACTATTGGTTGTTTTATAACAATTATAGAAGAATCAGGTTTTAGATTTAGAAAGCCTTTTTTCAATAGCATAATTCTATTAAATCTACTACGTTGTTTGGAGATGTGGTAGAATTATCATATCACATTGTTTGGAAACTTTCTTGTGCTGTTATAAGAAGTACGAAAAGTTTTCAGAAAATGCTTGTAAATATTTCCCTTTTTGACTTATCAGATATTACCAGAATTCTTATGTAATTCTACGTGTCCTTTTATGTAGTAGATTGCATTTGGATCCATTTGCTTAAGGTGGTCCAAACCCTTTCATGTATTCACCTATGATGCAACAAAAGTAACTTTAAAAGTGTTTTTGGTCCTTAATTGTTGCTATTGTAAGGTTTAGGTCCTTTGTTTAGGTTTTAGATTTAGATTTAGAAAGCCTTTTTCTAATAACATAGTTCTACTATATCTGCTCCGTTGTTTGGAAATGTCGTAGAATTATCATATCACATTGTTTGGAAACTTTCTTATGTTGTTATAGGAAGTACGAAAAGTTTTCAGAAAATGCTGATTTATCCTTGTAAATATTTTCCTTTTTGACTTATCAGATATTATCAGATTTCTTATGTAATTCTACGTGTCCTTTTATGTAGTAGATTGCATTTTGATCCATTTGCTTAAGGTGGTCCGAACCCTTTCATGTATTCACCTATGATGCAGCAAAAGTAATTTTAAAGGTTTTTTTGGTCCTTTGTTATCTGATAAGTCCCTAAGCCACTTTTTTAGGTCCTTTGTTATCTGTTTAGATTACAAATTATTTATTTACTTCAAAAAGTGGCTTAGGGATGATGTTTTGTCCTATTGCATCAATGTGATTTGGATGTGAAATTTTGAAAAAAATTTAGGTGTTTAGTGCTTTATTCCTGTTGTTTTACTTCTTTTTTGTGATTTCACATATGCTATGCTAGATTTGATGCTTTAGCATAAGAATTTTAACTATATTTATTTTCTACTAAATCCCAAATGTTTATTATGGGTTGAGATATTAAGATTTACAGCATAGTACAAAAGGATTTTGGAAATTGTTTTCTCAATGTGAATTTTATTTAGGCCCTTTTTTTTTAAACAAAAAAAATGTTAATCTGTTTAGTATAGATCCAAGGTTTTGTGTTCTTCATTTTTGCCCCTAATAAATTTTTTCTTGCCAGCATTGTTTATTCTAAGTCTTTATTAGATGAAGGAAGAAAAGATAAAGGAGGCTATGTTTCTTCAGTAAGCCTTGACGATATGTTTTAATGTCCTTTTTTTTGTGTGAACAGATTTTTTTCACTGTAACTGGCTGTAACTTTCTACACGGCATCCTATTTCCTCTAGATCCAAAGTTATTTTCTTTTATTTGTTTTACTTACTCTGTTTTTATTGTTTTGAGTTCTCTGTTTGAGAATCATACAATCTAAAGCTCTTTTTTTTTTACCATTTTGTTTAGAGTGTAAGCAGGAGGATTCGAACCTAAGACCTCTTGCTTACACTCCCTCCCCCCGTACCACCCAACCCATCCCTCCTCCCCATTCAACCTAAAGCTCAATTTCTTTTTTGCAAAATTCAACTTGGGCATATTATTGCTTGTACATTTGCTGTTCGGCTTGTAGTTTTGCTTGTTCCCTTTTTCTAGAGATGTTAGTCTTGTTTTGGTTTTTTTAGTTTTTGGTTATTTGTCAACCTTATTGATGGGTTGCAAGATTTACTTTTCTTTTTGTTTATCAACTCAATAGTGGCTAGGAAAGTAAACTAATTTGTTTTCTTAGGTAATTTGTAGTTTGCCTTTTGTTGGGACTTTATTTTGGTTGGCAATGTCAACCTAGCCAGTTACCAGTGCCACTGGTAATGAAGCTATTTTTTAATTCTTTGTAATGATGATGATCCTTAAAGGACATCAATAAATCAAATTTCCTGACTTTTTGATGGTTTATTAGAGGATGTAGTTTAATATTGCCAACTTCAATGGCATTTCTTCGTGAAGTTTTCTTTTTGGATTGGATGAATGTTTTGTCAATGTTGTGAACTTTACTTTTTATTTCATTCGGTAAAACAATAGTTTGAACTCTGAAGCCATCGTTTCGTTACAAAATAAAATGGGTATAATTGATGTCCTTTTTTGTAACTATTGCAAAGATTTTGATACATCTTTATGTAACTTTTTATAATTAATATTTTAATTTGAATAACTGGATGTTTCTGGGCAAGCTCGAAAATTACACCGCGCATCACGCGGTGTTCTCCTCCTAGTTGTATTGCAATGGTCCAACGCGCAAAATCAGGCCTGAACTAGTCTTACTAACAAGAAACAAAATTTGTGTCTGCAAACCATGACGGATTAACTTTGTCCAAGTTCACTTATTGCTATTTAATTTTCTTAATATAATTAATATAACTATTAAGTTCTAAAACTAATTTAACATCTACAGAATCATCACATTGAAACTATACATGAACCAGTAACAATTCATTAACAAGTATATAAATCAAGATTTTTTCAACAATAATATGTTCAATTAGTTCAAAGTACATGATAAATTAAAATAAAACATGATTAACATTCAATACATCTCCAAAAGTCCTCAATTTGCTCAAATTAAGATTTGATCTTCTGAATTTTTTGACATAATTTTTGTATATTTAATATTTCTTATATATATTAATATATTTTAACGCATAACTCACAATAATTAGTATTATATATTTAGATATATAATTATATATATATAGATTAAAAGGCCAAATTTATATATAGTTTGAGCCTATGTTTTCAGAACCGGACCGGATATCGACTCGGCCGAGGTCAGGGGTCAGGGGTCAATGGGTTCGACCGGGGGTCGATAGGGGTCGAACCGGATGACGTCATAAATAAAAATTATTTAAAAATTAAAATATTATATGTAAAATACCTAATAACATATTAATATTAATAAAGATATATTCATATATATTTGATGTTTCAAATATATTTAACAAGAAAATATAAAGAAATTAGAACAGCCAAATAGCAATTTATATTATTTAATGAGTATTAACAAGTTTAGAATTAAAATTATGGATTTAATTAAAAAAACAATACCAAATTTTAAGATAATATTTATAAAGTATGAAATATTTGAAATATATTAGTAATTTTTAATAACCTAGGATCAAAATATAATATTAAAAATATTTTGACCTTAAAAAAAAAAAAGAATCTACATACATGCATGCATGGAGAGGGGGCAACAAGAAGATATGGATGTTGTATGAACACGTGCGAGCGAGTTGTGGCCGGGATGTAGCAGCACTGCAGCAGTAATCAACTGTGCATGCATGTCCCATTACAAAAATGGTTGCGTTTTGGGATTTTGGGCTGGGCACATGGAGCCAAGGAGATGCGGGTCCCTCTCTTTCCTTTCCTTGCGTGAGATCTGAGATGCATGGTGGAGTCATGGAACCCGATTCTTATTTTTCCCGGTCAAACCGGGTCAAACCGGGGGTTTTGACCGGGTTTGACCGAACTTTTAATTTCCCGGTTTTTAAAGTCAGCTCGGATCGGACAATTGGCCGGTTCCCGGTTTGACCGGTCGGACCGGCCGGTCCGGTCCGAGTTTGAAAACAGAGGTTTGAGCTTAATGAGGCCCAAATTCGACTTACATTTAATTTGACTCTAATATAAAAGATTAGGCTTATTGGATTTTTTCTTATGCCGAGCAGGTCAAGCTTGAATTATCCTGACCCATTCCATAAATCAAAAATCAAATGCACTTAGAATCCACCTCATTCCATAAATGCTACCAAAAGAGTGTCCAGCATAAAATTGCTTTCAATTCACCCTAGAAAGATTTCTTCTTTTTCTTCTTTTTTTTTTGCCCTTTTTGATTTTTGAAGCAATAAGTTTACGATGATGTGTTAATATGGAACGAAATTCATTAACAATTCAATTTCCATCCAAGCCCTCCTCTTCGAAGGTGGCACAACACAAAGGCGTAACTGATTACACTGGCAAGTACGCCGCCACCAAGAACTACTGGTCAAATGTAAGCACGCCTTCTAAAGATGCTGCTCAAATACGTGGACCTACCCCCACGCCTTCATCATTTCGGTTGAGGAAAGTTACAAGTACAGACTCCCCAAGTCTGCTTGAGGCGGGCAAAAAGACCACAGCAAATAAAATTAAACAAAAAAATCCCGAAATGAAATAATCCTTTTGAGCGGCAAATAAGTTGAGCCGCCGGCGGCGCAGAAAAGGCTCTCTGTCCACCGCGGAGACTGGCCGAAGAATCGAAATTCTTGCACTAGGATTGATATTACTGGTTAACTAGGCAGAAGCAGAAATGTATACAGCAAGATTCCTAATGCAGCCGATTCTTAGGGGTTCTCTGGCCTCCGTTAAATCTCCTTACTCGTACCTCTACCATCCCAACTTCCCGGGTAAGTTTGCAGAACAAAACCCTGTTCATAAATTTAAGAATTTTATTTTATTTTTAAATTTTTTGGTGTGGTAATGTAGAGTATGACAAAGGGCTTCAATAACTTTTTAATGGGTTTATTTTTTATTTTGATTTTTTTGTTGTGTTCTTGACAGCGGTAATGCGTGGGGATCATGGAAATTTACAGAGATGGTTGAATGCTATCAAAGCCAAGGTGCATAGGACTGTGCCCAGTCCTTACTGGAATTTGATTTTGCGGAAATATAAGCATAATATCGGGAATTTCTGTAATACAGATCCGAATTTATGGCTTGTATTTATGTTTTTCTAGCATTTTGGGGTTGTTAAATATGCATTTTGATAATGTACGCTATCTGATTGGTTTTTTGCCTGAAAGAACCTTGTGAAGTGATTTTAATGCCATAGTCAAGTGATATATGTTGTCACTATATTTGAGTCTTGCCCTTGTCATTTCTGCATTATTGTTCATTAAAAAGTTCCCTTCTGGGACATATGAGCATATTGTTCTCTATCTTCTCATGTTTAGCTTGACTACATTGCAATGTAAACCAGTCTTTTTGGAATGATTACGTTTGGTCGTGTATAAGGATAAAGGGACTAAAGAGAAGTTAATATGACGTCAATATATACTGTTGGTCTGGAAATGTTGTGATTCTTCAAGTGTGTATCTTTTTCGTCTCAAAATTCAAAATTTTTGAATTGACAAGAAGTATCACTTAGATTTTCCCAGTATATAAGTGGTTCTTTGAGCTTCATTTGTTGGAGCATTTGCGCGTGGTTAAGTCAGAATATTGTGTTAGGTTGCACATGTTTTTAGACTTTATGTCCTCTCTCAACAAATATTAGACAAGAATTAGCATAGTACAATACTGATGGTATGATGTTGGTGAGCAATTAAGGCAAACTTGTTACATGCTAAAACGTCTGTAATTTATCTTTTCTGATTTTTACTGGATTTGAGAAGATGGGCGCAATCTGAGCATTCTGTGTGATAGCGAGTGACATGGTAATTTTCAACCAAAGTATTAAATTTCACAACAAAAATGTCAGAGCAACATGACTTTCTTGTAGTCTTTATTACTATTATTATTTCTAGCTTTGGTATGTAAATTTTGCGCTTGAGTTTATCGATCAAGTGAACTGCCTCCTCTTTATGCCAAGTATATGTGTTTCCCAAAAGTTTAATTTCCTTCTTGGCTTCTTTTCAGGGGGTAAATTTACTGTGCGTACTATCTTTGGATTGTCACTGGTAGTTGGATCAATCAGCATTTGGCCACGCATTGCATATTGTACAGATGGTGAGAACCATAATTCCTAAAAGTGAAAATATATATACTGTAAAATTCAACCGGTTGTTTCTTTGAAATTTAGCAAGTAGCAGATGCTGAAGGATCTTATTTACCATTTTCTTAGTCGAAAAAGTTTGTAATACTGCAATCGAATTCAGGTTTTGAGTTTTCGGTGGATGATCATGAGTTTGACAAGTTAGATTCTTCAGATTCTGACGAAGATCGTCGCGCTTTATTGACCATTCTAAGAAGACTGATGGTGCCTGTTTTCTTCTTATTAACTGTTTTGATGAACTGGGGCCATCCTGGTGTAATTGCTGCAAAAGTCACTCTTATTCTGTATACTACAAAGCATAGCCCTTTCTCTGTTTATCTTTTTGTCGAACAGGTTTGCACATAATCTTTCTTAATCTGTTTTAGATAGGATTCTTTCATTTTTCATGTTGGGTTGAAGTTAAAAGGTGTCCCACTTCCTATTCTGTGGTTACAATATCTATAACCCTCTAATTCATTCACTTGGGGATGGATGCTACAATTACTACTTGTATAAAAGTTTAAAATTCTTGTGTGCAGATTAATAGGCTGGTAGCTTAATACCTATAATAGATTGAACTGATGTATGAACCCAATTTGATGTACGGTTCTGTTACATGATTAGCGGATCTTAACACAGCAGTTGAAGTTGGGCAACTTTTATGCTGTTACAACAGCTCTCTTCAACTTGAACAAATTAAACATACGTTTATTTCTAGATCCTTGATACTGGAATCATATTCTGAACAGGGAAAATTATTATAGTTGAAAGAAACAGATTTTTAACTCATTGATTTCTAGATTTTGTATTGGGGAAGTACTTTTGAATTAAATGACAAAAATGAAATTGCACACTAGCCACCCGTATTTGGATAGGCAACAGCACAAAATGAAAGGAAGTTTTGAGGTATAGAGCTTTACACCTCAATTGATTGTATCTTACTGGCATTGGAATCAAAATTTGGTGATTTTAATCTGCAAAGGTTCGAGAAGCCATTCAAAGACAATTTGTCAATCTCTGAAAAGCCTATATATGACTTTGAAGCTTGCTGTTAATATCTATATTTTATCTTTTACATTATGGATTTGTATATTGACTTACCTTTATCAATCTCAGTTACGACATCAAGCTATACGCCAACACCCCTTCATCTACAAAATTGTGGTCAGTTTATTCCTCCTGTTGAATAATTATATTATGAAACCCCTACTTTAGTTATGTTATCAAATAATTTTATATACAATATTGGAGATTCACTGGTTTATATATGTGAAGTGTCAGAGCCATCAGGAACAATGCTTTATTAGTTTCATTCACCCGTGTTGTCCATGTTTAACATGTTCTTGAAGTGTTAGTTTGGATTTCGTCCTATTCAGTGCTTTGTGTTGATGGTCATAAATGAGGTTTTGGTATATTTACAAGTATCTCTCATATGAGTGTCATGTGTACTTAACCTTTATCATGAGGCATGTAAGGTTTTGAAGATAAAAAACTTAGTTGGATGAGAAGATATGTATTAAAGAACTTATGTTGGGCTAGGTTCCTTTTTTATGGGAGAAACAAATAACAGAGACAACACGAAACTGCCTTCTTCTTGTTTGTCATGCTTGTATTGTATTGAGACTTTCTCAAGTAAATAACTCTTTGGGAAAGTTCAAGTGACTGTACTTCAAGGAAGTTAATGGACAATTTGGAAGCATTTATAAGAGCTAGATTTTTCTGCTTCACAAAATTTCATTCACTTATGATTTTGACAAAGTCTTGTGTCAAGTTTATGGTTTTAATCCTTCTAATTTTGTCTGTTGCTCTGCAGCCATGTTATGCGAAGAAGGTCGAAGTTGAAGACTACATGTTTCTGTGTTTGGCTAGGGTTGAATTGAATGATCAGAATCTCACTCTTCTTGGAATTCTTGGTAGTTGGTGGGTTTTGCCCCTGTCATCATGGCAGGAAGCTTTTTCAATGTTGAGGAACAGTTTTCTGATCAGATGATCCACAAGGTGATCTTGTGTTTTGTTCCTGCAAAAGATCGTTAAGAAATTCAACTGGCAGATTATCTATACGTTCTTCCTTGGGTATTCCTAATACCATCAGATATCAGGGTAAATCTGCTGAACAACGGCGAATAAGTTTCTGGAGATCCGCCAGCATTAGTATTAACACTTGCTACGCGAAGAAACTGCAGATCAATTGAAGAGATTGCATCTTTCATATACCTTTTTGTATATTCTCCATAAACCTAATGAAATATATAGTCAATTGTATATCCCTTAAAGACATGGATAATGTGCAGTTTCTTTTTGCAATTTCATTCGCAGTCATACACTCTAAGAGTTTAATCAAGATGCAATGCAAGTTGGATTCTTCATCAAACCAATGTTAAAGACATAATGGAGCACTATTTCACGTTCAGTTTGGCTTGGGACATTTAACTTGAAAATTATATATTCCTCTGGATTCGGCCGGCCAGCAAAATTGATTTCAAATTCTTGTACTAAAATGGACAAATTATTCAAAACGTTCCTTACATTTTGTAAAATGATTTTTTTGGTCTCTCACTTTTAAAAGTATAATTTTATTACATTAACTTATTATTATTTTAGATGAGAACCTTAATACCAAAATTTTAGGCATTATCTTATTTAGGTGGATAAGTCGAATAGATAATCAAATTTATACCTACTAAGGAATCTTGAACTTGTAAATGGTAAAGAAGCAGCTAAAGGAGCAAATTTATATGGGAAGCCAAATCTGTTGAAGTTGAAATTGAAGTGGAATAGCAGGAACAGAGAAGGTGCCAACTGTGATGAAGATGTACTGGAAGGCCTCCAACCTCACTCAAATCTGAAAGAGTTAGAAGTTATTCTGTTCATGGGTGATAAATTTTCACAATGGTTGATGAATTTATAAACAGCTGTGAACAAGTTAGTAGACTTGAGGCTAATAAATTGCAAAAGATGCAGAGAAGTACCTGATGCACTAGGGCAACTGCCATTCCTCCGAAATCTCAAGTTCGTGGGACTGCCAAATGTAAAAGCTATTGGGCCTTCATTCTATGAGATTACTAGTGGTGAACAACCAATAGCAATGTCATCTAGAAGATTGTTTCCGGTGCTTAACACTCTCCACCTAGAGGACATGGGGAAATTGGAAGAATGGATGGAACCAGAAGGAGTTGCAGTTGATGTGTTTCCTATGCTTGAGAAATTATTCATTACGGGTTGCCCTCAACTGGCCAATGTTCCAAGTCAGTTTCCAAGCCTACGAAATTTAACAATAGAGCAAAATGACCATGTTTCCGTGGTCAAAAAGATTCTTACTAAAGTAGCAAATCCCTCACAGCTCAAAATATTTAGTCTAACTGGTATGGCTGGACTGACATGTCTCATGGGTGTGACTCACAATCATCATCAGCTTAAAATTTTAACATCTCTTACATTGGTGAAATGTCCCAATTTTACAAGTTTTAAGGGTTGCGGCACTTCTCTTGAGTCTTTGACAATTACTGATTGTGACAGTTTGAGGAAACTGCCGGAATCTCTCGGTACAATCCAATCATTGCAGTGCTTAAAGATACGAAGATGCCCAATTATAACGTTGGACAGCAAAGCCTTCCCGTCTCTTTATAAGTTGACTATTACTGATTGTGAAGGGTTGATAAGCATCCTGCTAGAGGCCACCATGTCTCTTCGTAAGTTGACTATTACTGATTGTGAAGGGTTGATAAGCATTATGCTAGAGGCGTGTCTGTCTCTGAGTCATCTTTGTGTGAATGACTGCCCTAATTTGGTCTCCTTTCCAATGGTTGAACGCTTGCATGAGAGTCCTAATCTAGAACGGGTCTGTTTAAGGAATTTTCCCAAATTACTGACTACACCCAAAGCATTTGCTTCTCTTACTTGCTTACGGGAGTTGGAGGTCGGTCCCTTTTCAGATGATTCTTCAACCAACAATGAATTTGATTGGTTAGGGTTAAAATCTTCATCACAATTGTGAACGCTCTATCTGCCCTAATCTGGCTCTTGGTATCCATGATATGAGGTACATTCCTGTTACTAAGCACAAAACGACTTTGTTTTGCTTCTTTGTAAAGATTTTTTTGATATTTATGTAAGTCGATCTTTAGTCGTGGACAAATGTTGGCACATGTTGTGATTTCGATGTTAGCAGGTGTCTCCATGGTCCTTGCCTGTTTATTTATTATTCTTTTAATGTTAGGCGAGGTAGTTAACAACTCTCAATGCCATGGGGCGGGGTGGGTTTGCTAAGTGATTGAGAAGGATATACTCTTAGTTACTACAGAATTTCTTCCTCCTGACTTTGTCTCTCTCAAAAGCCATTGTCACAATAACATTCCGATGATTTATGGTTAATAAACTGACTATTAGAAGCCATAAACTGGAAAGACTTGTGCTCAAAAATTTTTCCAAGGTTTAAATAGGCACTAATATGAGAGATTTAAAACATGTATGTTTGTCTCGTTTGTAGCATGACATTGATTACCAGATTTCGGAAGTTGATCTACTACCATAAAATTCTTCAATTCTTTTATGATTAACATAATCATATCACTCTCTTTAAACTTGAGACTCTGGATAGTCGGACACCTCTTGTACATGCATCAGTCATTCAGAAATCATATGACATGGCAGTTGGCACAGGTAGTTTTCCTTTAATATATAGTGAGGCCAGCAACTCGTGGCCTTGGTCCATTTTCCAGCTTTTGTGAGTGCAATGTGATTTTGTGGTCTCTTGCTGGTAACATGAGATTTTGTTATTTTGAGGTCTCTTGCTTTGCTTGAGCTACAGATTACCCTTCTTTATGTCTGAGTTCACAATCTGTAATTGTTTAGCATATGATTAGATACACTTACAAACTTTAAACTTTATTGTTCAACCCATGCTGTCCTGAGTTTGAGAGTTTTGTTTATCAGTGGTCAGAGGGTCAAAGCGCAACTGGATATGTTGCTTGCTCTTACTCCTCAAGTATGGAGGCTGAACCTGTGAATATCCCATGCATCCTTTTTGATACATATAATCAGAATTCAATACTTCTGGAAATGGCACTCCCCCTAGGTTCTCTGTGTTTAGATAGCCATAAGTGGTTTTTGTACTTTGACACTTTCAATCAAGTCAAGCTTTTGCCGCCATTAATCAGGTATTGTTTTACTTTTTTTTTAACTCAAAATTTGCTCTAGTCCACCAGACTGCTCTTTTTTCAAGCAGCTAGTATATTGGTTGAATGAAAATGTGGAGTGTATCTTGATTGCTTAACGTTTGTTATCTGGCTTCTGCAATTACTAAGCCTTTTTTTTGTTTTGTGTAATCTGTTCCCTCAGTTCCCTCTCCAGAAATTCACAACTGTTCCATGAAAGGGGTCTGAGGGTAAGGCAGAATCACCCTTTTATTTCATAAAGCTCTACGGAGTTTCTTTTCCTTTTTGATATCTCTCTCAAAAAACTTAGCAACTGCAAATATAGTATCAATTCTTACGACCTTGAATCTAGATTGGTTAGCAGCCTACTAATATAGGCAGCAAAACCATTCTCTATTGCATCACCTTTTCATTGCCTGTCTTCACTTTTAATTCTAATGTACCCTGTTTTCTTCAATCACCAAAGCAAATTATGAAACAACTTGTTGGATGATTAACTATTCAACTCCGGTTATGCTTCTTTTCTTCTTTACAGTTAAATTTTATTCATAATTCATCCCATCAGTCTGGTATCTCGAACTGTAATGAAAACTAAAATCAGGCCGAGCTCTTTAAACTTCACGTTGCCTTGGTTGCTGTAAATTTCACCTATTAAAAGTGCACTTGTTGGCTTACATTTGAATAAGACCACACCTGGTTGCCTGAAGAAGTAGTTCTCATTATTGCCAGCAACATTTTTTCCTGAGTTCTTAGTTTTTCTGCTTTGCAGTTCAACGCCGCAAATCTTGGATGATGCCTCTTCGTTTGCTTCATATCCTTTCAAAGCTCAAACAGCCAGAGCTTAGACATCCAGAGTTCAATATGAGCATTTTCAGAGTTGGTATGATCTATTATTCATGTTGTTATGGAAAAAAACAACTCCGCATTTGCTTTTTGAACTCAGATTACATCAGTTCTCAGTTTAGTTCCCGTTTGGTTAGCAGAAAAACATGGGAATGTGCTGTGACAGCTCAATAACTGCATCAGGCCTCTGCGAAGTGTTTGCAATTCTTTTTCTTCTTCCTCTTTTGATCACTTTGAGAACGTTTCCTCATTACATCAGTTCTTGTTTCGTCATTTGCTTATGGAATTCTGGAAGAAGCTTTGCCTTCCCTTACCAGACTGTAAAGAATTTATTCTACGAAGATCTAATGAATCAGGATGCTATGAGCTCTGCTGTGTATGAAAGCTCTTAATAGATCACAAGTTGAATCCGTGACATGAGGAGGTTTTCATGGTTAAACCTAAGCTCCAAAGTCTTAGGCCCTTGAAACGTCAGCCAACAAATCATGTGGTGACATTTTTCAGCAAACAGCTCATGAGAACTCGAAATAATCTACAGAAATAAGCAGAAGTAATACGAAATTTTACATAATATGAGTGATATACCTCATTTCATGACAGCAAAAGCTAAAGCAGATTATGACCAATGCCCTGTACTTTATCTGCGCGTAGCATGAAGCGTTGCAAACTAATATGGGCAAAGTTCAATTTTTAGAATGTACTTGCTTTAAGTCAAAACATTAAGAAATAACTTTGTTTAAACCGGCAATGTCAAGAATTCCAGTTGCATTCTCAATTCCACGAATTCAGCTTTTATGCAGATTGAGTGTTGACTACATAACGGGTGATGAAATTCATGCTCCATCCATGGGTTCCTAAGCATTACTTCATTGTGAGAAACTGAGAATAAAACCAAGGGAGATATGTGCAATAAACACGTTGCTAAACCTAAACAAAATACTCCTATTGATGATGGCTCGGGAAACAACCTCCAACGTATGAGACAACTGATTTTAAAAGCCAAATTGTTTTCATGAGATTGGTTTAAAACCAAATAATTTGTTTTGTCATTGTTGTTCATGATAATTTACCAGAAATTATTACTTAAACAACTGCCTTCAGTTTCTACAAGTTCTATGATTACCTTTTTTTTTTTGTAACATTAACTACAGTGCTGCAAAGCAGCTTTTGTCTATTTAGAGAGAATTCCAAAACTCTTGGATTGTGGCAACAGCTGCTCCCTTCCTCTTTCCAGATGAACAGTACTAAATGTATCAGATGCTATTTCTTGCAGTTCTTCAAGATTAGCGTGTGGCATTTGCACCAA